AACCAAAGAAACCAAGACTCCTCAGACTTACTGGGAGCTGGAGCTGCCCAAGCTGGTTCCAGTGCCAGGAGAGGAGGAGCGGGAGGAGCCGAGGGACACGCTGGCACCACCTGGAGCCACCCCACCACCTCCCAACAGACACAAAGGGTCAGAGCTGCCTCAGACACCAAATACCCAGGGCACGTTCTGTCTAGAAGCTTTATTGAGATCGGGGTTCTGGGGGTGGGTTTTTTGCGGTTTTGTTGGTTTTTTACATTTCACAATGCATTCCACAGACTTAGTTCAGTACAGCTCAAACTGCAAGTGTAGAAATGTTCACTTCTCATTTCTTGCATAACAGGACAGGGCTTAAAAGTTTCCAAACAACATTTGCAGCATTAGATACTCGGTCCACAGATTATCAGAGTCTGAGAGCTGGAGAATTATTTGCTCAAGATCAACTACTGTACATTTGTGCAACAAAGTGGACACTCAATCCCACATTTATCTACAGGTCTCTGGGGTTTTTTCCCTTAGAAATGAGGCAAACTCAGAGAACCTTAGAAACACTACAAGGCTTACCTGAAACACGTCTAAAAAATGCATCAAAGAAGGGTTTGAGGGCTCAACTGCACGTTTCCAAGTGCTTCACGAGGAGCATTCCTGTGTCCCAGCTGTCCCAGCCTTGTGGGCCTGTGATACAGACTTAAAAACCAAATTTAAATACATTTATATATTTATAAATTAAATTTTAAACTTCCTCATGTTGCAGCTTTAGGGGGATATCTGCCCCTTGCAATAAGGCAGAGCAGGCTACTCCATTCAATCATCTGTAGCCCTGATTGCCAGGGCTTCAGATCCTGTCAGTCCAGGCAAAAGCAGAGGATGGATTGGACTTGCCTCTAACTGTCCAAAGAATTTAACACACAGATTTGTCACCTGACTGAGGGGATGAGCATTATCTTCACCTGAATGCTACATCCCCCCCCATATTTATGTTTACAGAGATTTCCTAAGCTCTGCTTCTTTAGACTCTCATGCAAAAAAAAGAGAAAAAAGGTGGTTTTTTGTATAAAAGCTACAGATAAAGTGAAAGACTTGTGTGGTACCAGCAAAGTGGTTTAGGTAGTCATGACAACCATGTCAGTGCTTATAAAACTTCCCTTCTTCTTAATCTCTTTTGCAGTTCAGATAACACACATGTGAGCTGTAAAAACCAGGATCTGAGCTCCAGCCATGGAATGAGAAGCAGAATGTCCATAACACTGAACCAGGGGGAGCTGAGACACTGGCAGTTCTCTGGGGTCAGGAATAACAAGTTTTGTCCAGTTCCCAGAGGGGCTCCCCAGTGTGTCCAGGCTTGAGAGAGACCAACAGCCTTGTCCTAGATTCCCCCAGGGAAGGAGGGAGAGGGTTAACCCTGATTTTAAGAGAAGAGGATCAGACACTAAACACACATATTATAAATGCAGTCAAATTCCCATGTGTTTATTATTTCCTTCATCATCTGATGCCACGAGGGCTTTGCTGCTCCAGTCCCACCACAAGGGACTCCTCCTGTAGGATTTGTGGGTTCCCAAGAATCAACATCCACATTTTTCTTTCAATCTCCTCTGCTCATTGCTTTGTCACTTGGTTTCCAATGTGGAAATTTAAAACCCCTCTCAGCTTTAGCATTCAGAGGTGGAAACCGAAGCACAGCAGAAATAAATACCCCTCTGCATCCAGGGAGAAGTGAAGGATTTGCTTCCAGCAAAAAGGGAGCGACTGCTGTCAATGAGACAAACCAGCACCTCTCCAATCAAGTGATAAACTCATGAAAATTGCAAAGCTTTAAAGACCCAAACCTGTCAAGAGTCATGTGGAGCTTCAAAGGGAAAAACAAGGCTGGCATCTGGACTCTTTAATAACTGGATTTACTTCCATGTACCATTATTACTGTTAAGTAGAAGTTACTGACAAAAATATAACTCAGACTTGTCTTTTATAATGAAATAACTCTGGTCAGCAGGTGCATTTTTTCTCCTTTCTCTCAGCTGTGAAGAATAATTGTGCCATGTGTAAGAATGCCCATATTTTATATGATACTGAACTTACAAGGTCTCCATCAGCAGTGCTGGGGAAAGAGCTCCATCTTCTGGGAGACAGCCCTGCGGTGGCCAGGGAGGGACAGTCCCCTCGTGTCCCTTCTCCAGGAACACCCAGCAGATCCCAGGGGCTTCTCAGAGATGTTTCCCAGTGCAGGACAGTTCCTCTCAGAAATCCACCCCTGCTTTGCAGGTGGCAGGGCTGTTAAAACAAAGAAAAGGGGCTGAGTAAATCAGGATTTCCCAGTTGATCCACTGCAATAAAAGCACCTCTAAACCACCAGTGGGCACAGCAAAAACACCCGAGTTACCCAAATCCATGGTCGAGCTGGTATAAAATACAAATATCCCTGGGACAGTCTTTGCCACAAGCAAGTTCCAGAGTTCACATGATGGGAATCAGGGATAAAATACAAAAATATTTACCAAGGTTAACACAGAACAGGAAATACCCGAGACATCTTCTCCAGCAGGTAAAGACTGGAAGCTACCTACAGTTCTACGAAGTGGGAACAAATGTCCCCTGGTTTGGGATATCAGATTTAACAGTGTCTAAGTGGCAGTTTGGGATGGAAGCTTTGCTTTTCTTTTGAACTCCAAAGCATCCATGTGGTGAATTTTCCCGTTCCCATCATCCCAAGTGCATCTGTCCCTGCCCTGGTGATGCCAAGGAAGCCCCTTGGACAGGAATTAGTGACTTACAGCTGTCTCATTCCATCGGATTCTGCTTCAGCCATGGAAAGCTGACAAAGTCCAATAAGCAAAGAGCTGAATCACCTTCCTGTGAACATTAATGCCAATAGCTGAGAACTTTCTGTTAATTATGTACAAACCCATGACTTTATTCTTAGACATTCAGTCCTTTTTGTGCAGATTTGACAGCACTGCCATAACCACCTCCTTCTTTAGGTTCCTGGGACTTGCTCATTAACTACAGAAAGATCTGGAGTTATCTTCAAGGAGAACTGATCCTATTAAATTTCTCCACCTTCTTTTTGTTCTCGTGGAAATAATGAGCCTGAAACGAATCCAATGCAGAGCTGGTCCCCTGGCTGGTCCCAGGGAACTGTGCATTGTGTTCCTGGACTGACCTGGAGGGAGGGAACTCCTACCAGGCAGCAGATGAGGACAAACAATCCTCAGAGGAAGGCATCTGACACCAGCTTTCCCACCTGAGGACCGCAGGTGATATCTCCTCCTTGTATTTTGGTTATGGGAACTTCCAGATGACTATGGGAGCTGCTCCCTCTGTCCAGAGCTGGAGGACAAGGAGGCAAAAAGCCTGGAATACCTGCCAGGCCCCTTGGAAATTGCAGTCCAGGGTTAAGCTCTCTCTGCAAAGGCAGGGAGAGGTCAGACCTGTCTGGCTTACCATCCAAAAATAACTTTTTGCCAAGCTTTAATCAATGAATATCAAAAGACTTGCTGATCCAGACTATAAAACGCAGTTTCAGCTCCTCATCTGCAGTGCAGTCGGTTCTCTGGGACATGAATCCACAGGGAAACCCCCACTCCAGCTCCAGCAGAATGTCCATAACTAGCAGACCCCTCTAACAGGGATTTCATCAGCACTCCATGGCAACGCTGAGGTGGCTTTGCTGTTCCTACAAGTCACAGATTCATAGGAGGAGGCAACAGTTGGCCTTGCCTGTTTATTATCCAGGAGGGCAAAGACAAGGAAACAAAAAGAAGAGAATTCCCAGCACTTTTAGAGCAGCTGCTTTACTGCCCTGAGACTCTGCTGCAGGATTTTCCTGAACCTTTTCCCAACACAAATCATCCCCTGGACAAATCATCCCCTGGATGCTGCATTTAATCCAGTATAATTTAATGAACACTTGGGATGGCGTTTCACAAAGAGTGATCAGACACAGAGCTTTTAAAGTGACAACTCTCCCCATTCCCAGGGATTCAAGGCAGAATTCTCTTCCTCTCTCCAAGGCCAAACATTTCAATGACCTTTCTCTCCCTGCTGGTTCCCGTGTTGTCCTTAGCTGGGGGTGTCCTGGTCGAGCACAGTGTTACCTGCAGCCACACTTCCAACACTGTGTGCCAGGCCTCTCCCCTCCTCCAGAGGGAATTCCCACCTGGAGCTGTTCTCTGCCAAGGGAACCGCTCAGGGGCCTCTCAGAAAGCTTTGCTGCCTGTTTGCTCCGTGGTGTAAATGACTGGAGCACACAAAGCACTCGGAGCCACAGGCTGGGTGCCAGCAGGGAATAAGTGCCCGGCACATCAGGAGGGAATACCTGAGGAGAGCTGAGCCAACGCCCTGCCGAGAAGATCCAGCCATGTTTTCTTCCCCTCAGCTCCTGCATCCATTCATTACTCCACAGATGTTCGAGTCAGGTGGTCAACGATGAAGAATAAAAATTCCAGTATTTACCTTACAGTTGCAAGTGCAGCAAGGCCCGAGCAGCTGATTGCAAAACAAGGAATTAATGCTAAGCCAGAGAGGCAGCTCCGTGATGCTGCTGTGTCAGACACCCACCAAGTGCTGTGGGAAGCACAAGGTGTCCTGGAATTCCTCAGCACAAACCCCACGTGGGCAGGAGGGAGGCAACCCCCCTGGCTCCGAGGTGCCCCTGACATATGGTGCATTTTGCATCGTCTGGGAGTAATTTTATTGCCTTTTTTTGCAGAGCTGTTCTTTTTTCAGCGGGACTTCAGAGGAGTGATAATTAATTTTAAAATAACCACGGGCTCCTTTTCAACTTTTCCACACTACCAGGAGAGGCCCCCACTGGAGCACATCCACAGCCAACTCTAATTAGGCACCGGCTCGTTTTCCCAACCTCCAAACAGGCCTTTCCTCAGAGGATGGAAAATTTAATCAACTCCAAGGTCCCACATAGGTCAGAATTTCTTTTAGATGCTGCCTCTGCATTTCACATCCCACAGGGACAGGATAAAGGTGCTCACACTTCCTTTTTATAGGGACAACAGAAGTGCTGAAAGGGGAAACCGAGGCACGGAGAGGGGACTTGACCTGCCCAAAATGTAGAGACTGAACACACAAAATACAGACTATGAATCTGCTGGCCCAATGTTTGCTTCCTCTGAATCCCCAAGGATCTGAAGGGAGAATTACATGGTTTTCCACTTTTCTGAGGAAACAGTTGACTTCAAACCTCTGGGACACATCAGGAAGGTTTGATCAAAATCAGGAAGCCTGACCAAAACCTCAAGTGCCTGAAATACAAGGCTTTGGAATAGAATTCCAAATGACCCAGTGCTCTGGCTCATGCCCTGACCACTAAAAATCCTGGGAAATTCACACCTATGACACCTTCAAAACCACAACTATTATTGACAGCTTTGCAAAATCCAGATCACAGATTGGGCAGGAATGCAACACACTGGTTAATTCATTCTTTTTAAAGACTCTTGGAAAATCAGCTCCCTCAGTCACTGCCCTCTAGTGCCAAGCATCTATTTTAGACCTTCCACTGCTGGACAAGGGTTTCCCAGTGGGAATTAAATCCAGAGGCAAAAGTTCACTGCATTTTGCAGCCCCAACATCAGGTGTTCACGTGGGAGAGAGACATGGAGCAGGGTCTGCCTCTGGAAGGGAAACCAGGTGGAAAAGGCACCACAGCAGGTCCAGGGAAATCTCAGCAGGGAAGAACAGTGCAGTATGATCCCATCCCCTCGCTTAACATTCCTACCTGCTCGTTGGACCAAACTGGAATTCCAGGCAGGGATGTTTTACAGCAGTAATTTCAAATATGGGTTGTTTCGCTCCCATCTCGATTCTGTGGGAAGTAAACAGATCAAAGGTTATTTTCACCCCCTACCTTCATTCTGGTGTATGTGAAGCAACTGCAGGGCCAAGGGCTGAGCCCCACTGCTCCTATTTAACATTTTAGGGGAGATCAGACTGTTCAAAGGTAACATGGTTTGAGGGTCACTGCCCTCCCCCTGAAACCTTTATCTGTACACACCTTTCTCCAAGGCAGAACAAATAAAATCTCTGTGTCAAACAGCTCAGTGTCAAAAGCCCGGTGAGTCATATCCTATAAAGTACAGAGATTCCCGGGAGCTCTGGGGGACTGGAGCAGGAGCAGCATGCAAACAATAAAGCAGAAAAAACACCCAGGGAAATGCTAATTACAAGGGATCTTTTCTGGGACAGAATGTAGTTGACTTCCATATATGTGTAAATAGTCTACATGAGCATCACTGACAAATCCACCTCAACAAACCCACAGGATGAAATGCAGTTTGTGTTATAAAAAAAGAAAAAAGAAGAAAAAAAAGAATATTGTCCCAATCTGATGTTCTGTGTCGGTGCCACTTACCTTCTAAGAATAAATGGTGCTATGAAAAGTATTTTAAAAAGCTACAACTGGCAATTTAACAGCTAAAACCTGGCATTTTAAAAGCTAAATTGGCAGGATATGAATTTCTCCAGGCAGCCTGAAAGGCCCTTGTCTTGTGAGACTTTTGGTTGACTAACAAAAAGTTTCGGTAGAAGAAGCACAGATTTTGCATGGAAGAAAAGAGAGAAATGAACAGATGTGGATCCCACTGGAAACTGGAAGTTATCACTTGTTCCAGCTTTTCACAACTCCATGAAAACAACCCCCAGGAACTCAGGCGACTTCTGCAACTACAAAGTCAAATGCTAATTCATCTCTAAATAAAGCTGATTAAATACTATTAGGTCGATTTGCAAACCAGCTTCCAAGGTGCATAATGAGCGAGGTGGCTGTGCCACGTGGGTATTTTTAGCCCTCCTGTGTGTCACCTTTCCCACACCACAGCACACAATCCTGACCGTCACCTCAAAGCTCCTCTGCTTTTATCCTGCACTCCTGGGCACTGCAGAAGTGAAGGAACATGGATCCACTGGGCAGCTGAGGCTGGACAGGACCTCAGCAGTAACCTGGTCCTGTCTCCTCCCCAAAATCCCCCCCACCTTTACAGGCAAGGCCTGTGTTTGGGACCGAGACAACCACCCAGAAAAACCCTCTATAAAAAACAAGGTGCAGCAGTTCTCGTTCCGCAAACTCTCAGTGTAAATCCAGGCTGATTTTACTGACTTCAGTGAAATCCTTGTAAAATGTTACAGACACAGGTGAAAAGCCTGAGGATGGATGGGACACCAAAGTGCTGCAGTGCTGGATGGAAGAAAAGTCCAGCAACAGGAGTGGGTTTGTGGGTTTTTTTTTTAAATTCTGATACAGAAAAGTACTTCAAAGAACAAACTCCATAAACACTTCAAGCATTCAAGTGACTATGTCTCATGAAAACCAGTGCAACTAAGGATATAAGACATGTGTTTTAAAGCACAAGAGTAAAGTTTTTTCCTAGAATTGGCCTTAATCCCTGCTATTTTTTTTTCCTATTACAGTTTTCCAGCTGTTGTCATTTTGGCCCCATCCCTTCCAGGGCTCGCCTTACACATTCTTAGGAGCATTTCTTTATACCAGCACATGGACATTCATTGTTCCATAAATTTTCTTAGGTTTAAAAATTGCATTTTTTTGATTCTAAGGAAAGGCAGAAGTCCCTTGAAACCTCCCACATATGCTCCCAAAAGTGAGGGGAAGATGAAAAAAAATCCCCTAGGATGTTTGGTTAGGGATGGGAAGAGTTGAATCCTCCTCTCATGAGCTGAGCCTAAAGCTCTGCCCACAGTGACATTACACAGATGGCCAAGTCACCAATTACAGTCCAATTAATCTTCACTTATCTCAGCAGGAATGAAATGATTCCAGGTGTGCTTTACACAGGATTTCAGTAGCTCAGTACTGATCTCACAACAGAAAAACTCCTAAATGCAGGTTATTCACCCAGTGTGGGAGACAGAGACACCCGAAACTGAGGAGGCTGCAGGGGGTGAAGATACACCCTTTGCCTGCAGACATCTCTAACTGAGGGATGGAGCCTTTACATCTTTACTGGGAATTATAATTCCCCACAGACACGGCAGTTTGATTTCCCCAACAGCATTCTGTCCTCTCAGCCCAGTTGTGCAATCTCCTCTCCCTAAAAGCAGTTTGTGCTCGTGGAACTTTCCTCCAGTTCTTCACGGTCTTGACAGTAAAGTTTGTGACTAATAATTAAAGGCTAATGTTTGCCCTCTTCCCAAACTACTGAATTACAGCCATTCTCTGTTTCCATTCCTTTGAAGTCCATTAAAGAACAAAAAAAAAAGACTTAAAATCAGCAATATTCCCTATGTTCCACATGCTTTGGGATAAACAAGAGATAAGACAAGAAAAGTGCATTTATCTAATTTTAAAAAAATATACATATACTTGCCGAGCAGTTGTGACTACTACAGCTGTTCTAAGCCCAAATGCTACAGAGAGTCTCCAAGAACCAAACTAATTATTTCCTCCAGTTTAAGTGCATTTAAGGTCTGGCAGTTCCAAGGAATTAAGTCAAAGTAGGTCAGCTGAGCTATTGAGAAAGACACCAAACCACAGAGCTTCATGGAATGGCAGAGTGACCCTGCTCTCCTGCCACCTGAACACTCAGTGTCCCTCTGCATCCCCAGGTACTTACAAACCCCTCACCTTTGTGAAAGGGTCACAGCCAGTACTGTTTGAGAGCTTGGATTGTGGGTTATCCCACAGAATTCCAACACTTCACCTGGTAGTGACTTGTTCTCCTGACATATCCCTGTGGTTTCCACGTCCTCCAGTTTATCCCGAACCATCTGCTGGTCACACACTCCAACTAAACCAAATCTACTGTCCCAGTTCTCTTTGGAATCCACAGCTCTGCCCTTTTGTAGCTGCTGTGCTCAGCTCTTGAGCATTTCCTTGGCGTGCAAACCCCCAGCCTGAATTCAGAGCCTTTGATGTAAGGAAATGGCACAGCAGAGGCAGAGCAAAGAAGAAAGGTGTTGTCTTAAAACAGGGGCCAAACCCTGCTATCACATCTGCTGCCACCTCTGTGCCATGAGGAGGTTCTTCACCCAAACCACTGCATTGACCTGCAAACCTTTACTGGTTGCGTTTAACAGAGCAGCTCTTTAAAACCACGCATGAGGGTCTTAATACTCAATGTTTTTGAACTCAATGTTCACGCAGCATGAACTGAAAGCACCCAAAACATCAGCAACTGTCACAGCTCCTCGGCCAGATCTGTGGGTTTCTCCTGGAATTCATTCCCTTGCACTCAATCCTGATGTCCTCATTTCCATGCTGTCAGCAAACTGAACCTCAGGCCCTTCCAGGAATATTTACATCTTACATCCTGTTACATTCATTTCAAGTGATTCCAAACAGCACTTTGCAAAATGACACTTTATGGCATCACCTAAAACCACTCTGAAAACAAATTAGAGCCCCAAAGTTTCCCAGCAAGTGTTTGTCTAAAGGCCATCCCTCACCAACATTCACCTCTTAAACCTGCACTCGAGCTCTGGCTCAGTTCAGGGAGAGCTTCAGGAAATAAAACAAGAATCCAAACAAACCCAAACTGCTGAACATTCCTTAAGCAAGAACATCTCGCTGTTTCCTGAAGTGTCCCTGATATATTTTCCCCCAAAGTCTCCTTTATCACTCGTTGCTGCTTCATTTCCTGCTCTTGCTGCCCTGAAAGGTCTTTTCTTGGTGTAATTCAACAGTAAAAGACTAAACCCAAGCAGGTAAATCAAAGGCACGTGACATTCATTACAGTAATCTTTCCCTCATATCCTCCCATGTAACAAAAACCTTGGCAAAGTCTGGGGAAAAAAAAAATCCACTCTGCAGTTAATTTCCTTTTTTTTTTTTTTTGTTAATACTTGTGATATGTTTCAGTTAGAAAAAAACCCCTTTAAATGCCAAAGTATCCTGATGGGGAATTTGGATTTTGGGCTTGAGACGAGCACGTGGGGATGGCAGAATGGTGTCAGAGCGTGATGCCAGGCTGGGATGAACCGGATACAGCAACTTAGAGATGCAGACTGTCACATTTCCAAAGGCTCCTTTGATCAAAGAGTTTTTCCAGCACAGCTTTTAATCCCTTCAAACCTGAATAAAGGTGAGAGCTGGTACCTCAGAAAGCAGCTTGTTACATCCTGGCACCCAGCCTGTCCTTTGGTGTTTTCAAGAGGCAGGATAATGTATCCTAAAAAGGGTTTAATTTCTGAAAAACAGATTAAAAAGAGCCCTTTCCCCTGCTATTTTTCAGACTCAGAAGGCCTGGTACCAAGTCTGGTGTAGCACAGAATTACTCCTGCTCTGAATGACCTTTGCCAGGGCTGTAAATTTGCTGCTTTTTCAGAAATCAAGCAGTTTTTAGGGCACATGGAAAAATTAGACAGGTCTTCAATGCCAAACTCATGACAACCACCTCCTTCCTGATGCCCAGTCTTTGTGTCATCCCATGTAATGTCAGCTGGGTTAAACCCATTCATCTGGAATTTCTCATGCATGTCTCTGCTTTGACTGAAGACATTTAAATCAGATTTGATATTTAGGCAAATTAATTGTTAAACAGCACTTGAAACATGTTGAGTTTTACAATTTTAATGCTGCTAAAAAAGCTCATTGCAGCAGCAGCTGGTGTCAGCCTCTCTAAATGTACTTTACGGGAGAGAGATGGATTTATATAATTGACATTAAGCACCTTTGGACAGTTGGATCAGTTGCTAAGAAAACCCGTAGTGGACTCAAGCAATGCTTATTAACTAATGTTAATCATATTAACTAATTGTGAGGGGGTGGAATGGGGGGTCAACATCCACTCCCAGGCAGAGCTCAGGTGCTCCACTTCTTGCAACTCCCCAAATTAAAGTTCCCGCAAATACAAAGTGAATGTCCATGGAAATAATTGTGTGAACACAGAGCAGGATTTTTAGCAGGTTGTTTAGAAATGGAAAATATGTGGCTGAACAACATGGCTTAGAGACCCTATTAAATGGGGTTTCCAGATCTCTCTCCTGCAGTGGTACAGTTTGGAACTTGGTCCCTCTGCAAGGGTATAATTAAATATTCCTTCTCCTTTGTGTTAATCTGACCTGTTGGAAAAGAGTTATTTCCTAAAGCACAGAGCTGCCCCCTCTGCAGATCCTGCCTGTAAAGAGCTCTGAGAGCACCCAACCACAACTGCTTTAATTACTATTTTATATTATTACATTATGTTACTCCCCAGGCCCCACTGTAAGATGCACCAACCTTGTCATTCATCGAGTGATGCTGCACGAGCACAAACCTTACAGCAGAGCTGACTGCTCTGGTGGATCTCAAGAGGGAAAGGCCATGAGGAATTCAGAGGGATGTCTGGAAAAGCAAGGGAATTTTGGCCCTGGAGACAGAGCTGTCAGCAAGGTCACACCCATGGAAGTGGCTCTGGGTGCCAGTGCCAGCAGGAAGGTGCTGCTGTGAATGGAAGGGGTGGTTGGGTCTGTATGAGCTCCATGGCCTCGACTGACTGTCAGGAGCGTTTGCCTGGTATCTGTGCAACAGGAAAAGAATCCAAAGAAACTTCCCCTGGCTCCAGAAATGGGGCTGTCTGAGCATCCAGCCTGGACTGTATCCAATTCAGCAGCCAAAGGTTTGGGAAGTTCAGGCAGTGCTGACCTGTGTAGTTCCATGTTCAGGCAGAAGGGAGAGAAAATGGTCTGGGGGTGAAAATTTCAGGTGAAGTTCAGTCAGTTTATTTAATCTTAAACTACCCAAACTCGAAGATCCATAAAATCCCCTCCTAAAACTTATTCTAATATTTGCATTGCTGTGTGGGGAGTAATTACCAGAGCACATTTATCTGAGGTTAATTGGTCATCTAGACCATACCCTGCTGCATGTTAATTATCCTGCCTGCCTGGAATATGGTAAAAAATTAAATCATGAGAAAGGATTCACTTCTCCATGTTAATGCAACATGTCCTGCTCTATTCCAGGGTATCAGGGGTCCCATTTATGTGCCTGAACAGGATGGAAGTGGATGCACAACGAATTGGCTGCATTAATGAAGCTGAATTAGGCTTTAAGCCTTACTTAGCACAAGGATATTAATCCGTCATTACAGCAAAATGTTTTACATAGACTTCTCAGACCTCCTGAAAACAGACTTTTCACGTGTCAGGAAACATCTCTGGCCATAAAAAAATGAATCAAAACCAATGTGGCTCAAAAATTGCTCAGAAATAAGTATTTTCCAATGCTCCTATTTTTGGTATTTCTTGTTTAAAAAGCTGCAGCTTAGACTTAACACAGAACAGGTTAATAAACAGTCATTGATGCAATGAGGACTTCCCCATCCAGAGAAAGAACTTCTTACCCAGAAAGTCCCATTGCCATTACCACCCTGAATTTTCATTGAGAACCTGGTCTAAAGTCATCCAAAATTAATAACAACTTATGATAATGACAGGTCTTAAATTATCCTGAGCTTTGTGATCCAAGGGCAGGTCATTTGTAACCAGATAAATATTAACTCGGTGGCACCAGCACCTAAAAGAACCTTCTTTCTTCAAGTGACTTTTAAATGCCCAAATTTTCACAATGGAAAATTTTTTTCATTCATTTTTTGTCCCTTTTCCCTTTAAATTGAGCCCCACTTTCTATTTAAAAGCACCTGTGGCAGAAAATGTCACAAAAAATAACATATTGCAGACACAGCCTCAGCCACTCTAAGTAAGAAGAGCCCCCAGAAGTCAAAAGTTATGTCTATTTATACCAACCCAGAAGGAAATTTTATTTTCTCCTCTGTGTTATTAAATCAGATAATCCAAAAGGATTTTGCTGGAGTGCAAAGCTCTTATTGTGCCTTTTGCACTCTGTTGGCTGCATAGGACATGTGGAAATGAAATTGGAAGCTATCTCCTGCAACATCTAAACCCTGCAGAAACCAAGTTTACTGTTGTTTTGTTTAAAGCCAATTTACACAAACACATCCTCAACTGCTGGATAAGGTGCTAATTACAAAGTTCAGCTCCCCCTGTTAAATTCACCCATTTTTCTCAGCAGAATTATCTTCCAATATTGATTTTGTTTGGTCAACCCACAAAAAGAATCATGGGCTCAGCAAATATATCATAACCTGTATATTGCTTAAGTAACCCCAAGTTTATGAGTGATGAGGGAAACCAGAATTGGGTGAAACTCAGCAGGACAAGGCACAAACTCAGGCTCAGGCAGCAGCAAAGTGTTCTGGTGTAACTGTGTCAAATGAACTCACTGAACACCCACCCAGGTGATCTCGGACTAAGTTCCCACACAGTGACAAAAAGGAGGAATTAAAGCTATGGGAATTATTTTCAACCTGCAAGCTGCTGGACAAGGGCTTAATTACCTCATTTGAGAGGCTGAGAAAGGCAAAATGGTTTGAAAAGGACTACCAGGGTAATTGGGGAACAGAAGGAAACCGGGAACTGAGAGACTTTGGCTTGATTAGCCAAACTAAAAAAGAACGGAATTGCCACTCTAAGTGTGACTGAGGGAAGAGGAGGGAAAACAGCTCCACAAGCTCAAGTGGGAGAGCTACAAAACTTCCCAGGATTGAATGTCCTACACAAGTCAGACTGGGAAAAATCCAACGCAGCAAACCCAGCCTGCTGTCATGAACTGCTGGTACAAACGGGCTGGGTGCCCCTCCTGCAGCAGCAGGAAAGGGGCTGTGCTGATCCAGCCCCTCGGACTCGGATCAGCAGGGCAGGCAGCTCCCGGGAAGCAGCAGTGACACACGCCCAGAGCAGGGAGCAGCAGCAGACACAGTTCTGCACTAGGAAAATGCCTTCAGTGCCATCAATCCCAGTCTCCACTTTTCCCCATGAGCAGGCCGGTATTTGCAGAGCATTCCAGTCTCCCACTCTCGGTATTTCAGGATGACAGAGGCTGAGCTTGCAGCAGGAAACTACTGCACGGTTGATCAGTGCCCTGAGAAATGATTCCTGAGTCACACCTTCCCACTGCTCCTTGAAAACCCATCCTGCACATGGGCCATCAGTTCCCAGGGATTCACTGGGAACAGGCTCTGTTTGGGCAGGATGAATAGAACAGTAAGAAGTCCCAGAATCCCAGGACAAGCTGAGTTGGAAGGGACCCACAAGGACCATCCAGCCCTCAGCCCTGCACAGGCCCATCCCAGCAGTCACACCCTGTCCCTGAGAGGATCAGCCAAATGATCCCTGAGCTCTGGCAGCCTTGGAGTTGTAAGTTTTAAGGACACTTAAAAGCATCAGTAGAGGAGCCCCCATTTTATCCAGGCATTTGCAGGCACTCTGTGCCCACCTTGGTGGTTACCACCTTCACCATCCCCTTGCCTGTCTTTTTAAGGGTTGTGAGCGTTATTTTCCATAAAACTGTTCCCAAGGTCACTCCGGGCACTGCCCAGGTGAAGTGACTGGTTTGGGTGTCCTTGGCTTGGCCCTCAGGTGGCAGCTCATGAGAATTAAACACAGATCTTTGTTCTTGCTTTCTGAAGGAGCAGAATGGATTTTTCCCAGGAACAACCCTCTTTAATCAATTTTCCCCTGCTATGAACAACTTTTCAGGCCCTATTAAACCAGCAAATGCAGCTTTGGGCACACCAGCCTTTCTTCTGGCTGAGCAGGCAATAGCAAACTTCAAGGAAAATGCAGGTTAGACACAGTTACTATCAACTAATGATGTCAACAAATTATACAACTGCCCCTGGAAAAATAAGAGAACAACAACAAACCCAGCTACAAATGACAATGGCAATCACAGGCTCCTTCCCGCTGTAATTCCTCTCCTCTCCAGGGATATGAGCAAAGTAAACCAAAAAACACCTTTTCTTCCTCCTTTTCTGCCAGAAGACCTTCATCTCATTCCCAGCTAATTGAAAGGATGGGACCCATTGGCACTAAAATTACCATTATTAATTACCATAATAATGACTTGTAATTATCCTGACTCCAGTGACCACATTTTTCAGTCCTTTATAATGTAAATGTCTCACAATCCCATAGGATTGTGGGAAACCCAACCAAACTAGCAGTGTTGTGAATTAGCTAGGAACAATTCCTGCAGCAAAATCAGTCCTTGAGGGAAACACATAATTATTAATTACATTTATCAGGCACTTGGAATGCTCCGCAGTCACTCCCCACTCCCTGATGTGCCAGGTTCTGCCAAGTGCCAAGGCATTCCATGCTCTGATGTAAATCCATATGGATGTGTGATATCCACACTCACCCCTGCGTGGTTCCTCCTGGAGGGAATTCCACTCCTTTCCCAAGTGGTTGGGAAGGTGCAGCCCTCCCTGGCAGCTCGTGGTTGACATTTCCTTTGATCTCACCCAAGTTCAGGGATGTCCTTCATTCCCAACATCCAACTGAGCCTGTTTGTTTGACCAGCTCAATGTCCAGGGCCTGCAGGGACACCAGGATGAACACAATGACAAGCTTGCAGAACTCTCAGGCTATTTAAGAACTACTTTTTGAGTTTAAAAAAAAAAAAAAAAAAAAAGAAATCTTAAACTCATTAACAGGGTCTAGATTATTTATTTTCTTTTTTTTTTTTCATAAAAAATTTTCATTTTAGACATCCTGCAAAGGATTCAGTGGCAAACACCAAACTCAGCTTCCTCAGACTGGTGCAAAAAACCCAACACCATGAAGATTTACTCAGCAAACTACACATGCAGCTTCATTTCTTTGCAGTTGTTTCAGGGCACATGATGTAACTGCCACAGATTAAGACACAACCCAGAGCACCTCCCTGAAGGATTTATTTCCAGCCTTGTCAGGCCAGCAAGTTAAACAGAAAGAACCAAGTTAAAGAGCTCTTTGACCTGGGGTCGGGCAAACCCCATTAATTTTCACTGTCCCATTTACAGGGAGCAACTACAATGGGCCAGAACATCTTGTGTTTTGGAAGAACATGAGGCTGGAAAGGAACAGAGTCTAAACTGAACTAAGGAGAGATGCAAACAAGGCAGGAATTGGGAAACCCCCCCTGGATCATCTGAGAAGCCTCAAGCATTTCTGATGTGTTTATAAAAAAGTCTCTGCAGTTTTAGATCCATTATTTTCACTGACGTTCCTTAATGCAGCACCTTATTTTCTGCTCCCGTGTCGATAATTACACGTTGTCTGGTTAATGCTTATTAAAATAAGAATTTACTTCATAAATACTCAGTTATTTTGGCTACAAAACCAGAGGAAGGAAACAGAGAATGGGATGAAGGGGGGGACACCAAGCCAGCAATTCTGCTGTCAGCTCATTTCTCTTTGCCTGCTTTTATCAACATGAGAATTCTTTACCTGAGCTCCAGGTTAAGATTATTTTGAAGAGTAATGAAGAAACTAATAAAAAATTAGATTCAGAGCTTAGTTTACGAGCAGATTAAAAACACTGCCTCCTCCTGGGAATCATAAATTGCCTAAAACCCCAATTTTTTCACTGGAATTTGCCTGTATGGTGCCAAGCTCCCTGCAGGAGCACGTGAGGGGCTCCTGAGCAATTAGAACTTTAAGAATTGGCTTAGACCCAAGGGCCTGAATGAAACCAGAGAGGAAAAAATGTAAACAGGAAAAAAAAAAAGAGATCTTTTAGATACATCTTTATGGAATTCAGGGAGAATTACCTGAGGGCTGGACTGGGAGAAGGGTGTTGAGCTGTTGCATTCTGGTTACTTCTGTGTTCGTCCATCTAATCCCACGGATGATATTCCTGACTGGAACTGCTTGGCTGAGCCAGGCAGGCAGGGTTTGGCTGCAGTCCTGGCTGTGGATCGGCTCAGGTTCAAGGAGAGGGGAATGATATAAAGGTTAAGGCAAGGATTTAACAGAGCTGCTTAAAAAGCAGAGCAAAAGGGGAGAGAATGGAGCTAAGGATGCAACTTGAGAGAATGAAACACTGAGAAAATGTAGGCTTCTCCCTACAAAGGCAATACCAGGGAAGTGGATCCATTATTTCAGCACAATTACTCTGAAGTACCTGTTGGAGCTGGGATCTGACATTACACAGAGCTCAGGCTGTGCTGGTCAGGTGTGAACCTTCAAAGACAGAACCAGCCCCACGTTCTACCCGTGCTTGGGATGCCCGAGGAATATCTGAACATCTGCAGGGAAGTTTGTTTCCATGGATACTTCCACCTCTAACCCCGCTGTGTTCCAGTTAAAGTCCCTCTCGGGTTTGGCAGAGACTCAACATTTTGATGAAACTGAATTATTTTGCAAAAAATACAAATGAGGAAAAAAATTCACTCCACAGGGCAAAGGGGAAAGAAGGAGAAGGATGCATTTAATTGGACTAAAATTTCATACCCAGGAAATTTTAAAGTAAGGAACCTGGCAAGGCAATACCCGATCGACGTGGAGGAAAACACTGGAAATGTTTAACTGTAAAGGAAACAAAGGGTATAGACCTCAAGGGGAAAGAACAGATCCAGCAATGTTTGTTGTTATGTTGGCTGGTGCAATTTAATATCTTTATTAATGAACTGGAAGAAAGAATCCAGCTGGATATTGATGAAACATAGAGATGATCCCAAACTATAAAGTATGGAAAAAAAATATCAGAAAGGGGATAATTTTGCTCAGACAAAGATGTGCATTAATTAGAACTGAGACTATAAATAAAAACTAGAGTTTTGATCATCTTTCTGTATGTAGGAGATTCCCAAGTGAATTCAATAATTAGATCTAAACTTTCAGGCAACATTTATTGCTAAAATCGAGATGGAAAGGAAAGAAGGATTAGACACAGAGTGTGCTTTATAATATAGGCAATGAAATGAAGAAAAGAGGTTTTTCTGTGGTCAAGGTGGGCACAGAACTTGCAGAAATGGCTGTTAGACAAAAGAAATATGTAACTTTTACTGGCAGTAATTAGACAATAAAATAGCTGATGGAAATTCAGCAAAAAGATAGAAAAGCCAACCTTCAACAAAAGATTCTTCCATAAAGGAGGTGACTGTGTTTAGTCTTCTATTCAGGGGCCATTCCAAGCCTCCTATCAACCATTTAGAATTTTAATTTCACTGCCTGTCTAGTTCAAAGATGCCATTTTAGATTTTTTCTTCCTTTTTATTCTCATGCAATTGACCTTTTTACCATTAAGTGGAACAAACCTGCCAGACTCAGCTACAAGAGAATTCGGCTCTTCAGCCACTGCAAAAAAGGCAGAAACCACCTACAATTAATTTACCAGCGAAGTTACTCACATCCCACCTCATCTGGGTTTAAAAAAGAGAAACAATCACCTGCCCTTGTTAAAACCCACTGGATTAGCTCTCCAAATGTTGAATATGCAAAACTGTGTCATTTTTCAAAGTTGTCAAGATAGAAAATTGCTTTATGAGAGAGTCTGAACTGCAGCAAGACCTTCAAATCCTCCTCCTGGCAGGTCCTCACTAAGGGGAAGCTGAAACACGTGAAAATACAGACAGGACGTGGCCCTGTGGCAGCTCTGCAGGTTCAGACTTAACTGGTTTCTCGTGGAAAGCCAAGAAGAGCAAATTTGCAATTTTACCTCATAAAGTGTAATACCAAGTGCAGTTTTTATGATGGCCATGACTCAAAGGAAGCCAAGGCTTTTTATTTTTTTTTAAATAATGCATAAAACTAAGTAACCAACCCCAAGAAATCTGCTTGGGGTATAGATCAAATCCATCTGTGCTGCCAGTGGAAGTTCTGGGTGTTTGAAAACAGGGAAGTTTAACAGAAGCCATTTTGTGACTTTAACTATTGCTTCAAGGCCTTGATTAAAATACATCAGCCTTAAATTCCTGCTGTATTAAAATACCCCACGGGGGGTAAAAATACAAGTATCAATGCATTTCAAATCCCTGTTTGCTACTTTACCTGCTCAGTTCCAGCCACACACGCTGGGGTCACGTCTGTGCCATTGGAACCTGACCCACTGAATTCCCAGGTCACTTCTGAAAACCAAACCAACAAACCACTATAAATTACAGGAAGAAAATACCAAATTTTTTTACCCAACGAACCCGAGTTTTCAAATATACAATTATATACAGTCTGAACTGCACCATTAGGCTTTTAGAAATTGCTCTGTTCGTTTGAACAAATCCCTTGGGTTCCTTTTGCTTTGTTATTTTTCCATCTTTATTGCCTGAAATGTATTTATTTGGTTTCATTACGTTGTGCTTTTCGTTGCCATTTCTGAGACAAGCAAACATATGGATTCTGTGCTTTTCCAGGGAATTCAGTCAGAGGGAAGCCATCAGCTGGGAGCACAGTGAACAAAATTGCCAGTGGGATGATGGATATCTCCTGACAAGCTAAAAAGCAGATGGCTTTTGTTTCTATTCCAACCCAGACAGCAGAGAAAACTCAAACTGCAATATTTTAAACCACTAAGGTTATTCTAAATAAATGTGATTTCTATTTAGATGATCAGCCCAGAAAAATCAGGAACTTTTTAAAACTGGGTTGATCTACCTTTGAAAATAAAAATACTGCAGCATTTTAATTGAAAGGAATCAAAAGTATGTGTTACCCACTCCCCACTTTCTTCTCTTATTTTTTAAAAACAACAATCTATTAAGGAATCCTTAACTAAGAGGTGACCTCTTACCTCTAAAATCCCATCTCTAAATAGGATTATGGGCTCAAACATTTTCTTCACAGTTTCCTTCTTTGAAGAAACCTCTAAAGTTTTCAAATAATAGGATAACCTTAAGGGGCTTTAAACAACAAATGACAACTTGCCATGAAAAATAGGGGGGGAAATTACTAAAGTGCCTATTTTGTATAAAAGGTCAGTGCTTCCGATGTTTGCAGAGCAAAAGACACTGTTTTAGCCAAACAAATCCCAAAATTAATGAGGATTTCAAGGCCAAGGAATGTCTGCTCTGTCCAGTCAGAGCAGCAGGGAGCTGTACTGTCCACATTGCACCTTTCTTGCAGCAGCTCCTGAATCAGTTTAGTGGGCCACGAAAAGCTCTTGAAGAGGTGTTGGCACTGGATATGGAAGGAATGTGGTGGAGCTGCCCATATATCCAACACTAACCAGCTCCACAAAAGCCTCTGGAGCAGACCAAGATTAGAACTTTTATATCCTCAAAGACACCTTTAAGACCAGAGCAGTTTGTGCTGGTTTCTAAATAAAATGGCAAAGAGCTCATTCCTGCTGCCACAGGAACTCCCTCTCCCTACAACACCAGCTCCTGGTGGACACAGTTCGGGTGCCACTTTGGGACAACCCCACTGAGGTCTCTCCTCTTCTATATTTATGTTTCCATACATGACTCTGCACATTATGGGATCTCAGGGCTGTTCCTACTCTCTAGAGACAGAAGAAAAGTGGTGAGGAAAGATAAATGTGCCTATTTTTCAGCTGTTTTATGACCCAAACTCCTTTCTCTGTGTCCTGCGGCACAATATTATTGACCTGATCTCTGTCCACGGAGCAGGTTCGGATCAGATTGTCTGTTCTCTTATCAGTCTTTGCTCTAATTTGCCTGGCTATTTGGAGCCCTTGTACTCACAATTCAACACACTCAAACTCAACTTGGCATAAATGGATTATTTATCAATTTATGATAACTGCTGGCAGCCAGGTAAATATCACTTGCTTATAAAATGCCTCCAAAACCCCGAGGAAAAAGTGGCTGGAGGGTGTTTCTGCATCCCTATGGAAAATAAGGGCTTTGTTCCTACATAGTTACAATTAGGGAAAGCTGGAAGTGCTTTGCACAGTTAGACCAAGCCCTGCAACTGCCTTAATTCCCACACGACCAGGCAACAACCCAGCGCTCACCACCCTGTGCCAAGGGCAAACGTCCTGATTTCCTTGCCAGCCTCAGCAGGACAGGATTTGTTTTCCTTCACACTCACAGAAAACTGGCTTTGCAAGCTGCAAATTTGAACTTGTACAACTTTGCATGGGATGCTTTCTAGAAAGAAGCTGATGTTTTTACTCCTAAACTCATCCATTCCCAGTTAATCAGAAGCATCAGAATCACTTCAAATGTGTAAATATCATTTAAATTATTATTGCCCCGTGTCCCTGTGCTCTGCTTGCTCTGCAGGAGCTCTGTGTTTAACCAGGTGAGCACTGACAACACTGGAAATTTGGGGGTTGACACGACGTGAACAAAGAAACTGGAGATTTAATATGACTGATTCATCTCTTATTGCCACTTGATGTATGAGGACTTTTCATACCAGAAACCTGCGTGCTTTAATTACAATTGCACTGTGCACTGTAATAACTCCCAGTTAAACCCTTCAGCTGCACAAATGAGTGGTTATCACACCTTTTCCACACTGAAATGAGAGGTAATTGCAGTTACATCACCCTGAGCACAAAAGGGCTTTTTTTTTTTTTTGAGTAATTAATCGGCCATGCTGCCTAAATTACCCATTTCATGGACAGATGAAGACTAAGGAGTGTGTCAAAAATCTCTGCCAGGGGGAGTCATACCAATATGAACCCACACAGCACTGTAGAAATGCTAAGTACTAAACACTTTCCTATGAATGGGGCTGATGCAGAACACACCAGACTGGCCTTTCGAATAATTTCACATATTTTTGATAATTTCTCAAACAGGAAATGAAATAAATAACAAGACCACTTCCTATATGCTTCATACAATCTACATTATGGCTCTTTGGTTTTTCTTAAGGAAGTTCCACACAAACGAGATAAATAACTTTCACATATTTGTTTCCCCCAATCAAGTTTTAATAAAGAAAAATTCATTAGTTTCATTTAATCAATAAATGAAATTAAACTGACTGCTTATGATCAGTGAATGTCCCTCAGAAAGTCACCTGGAGTAATGGTAAGAACCATTCAATATGTGGCTAATTTTAATCCCCCTCAGAAGGCCAATAATGAAAAGAACAAGGCCAATCAAGGACAGCAGTAATTGAGATATCCATGGGTAAATAATGGATCCATTTTTATCCCACATTCCCAAGGCCTGCCCTAACTGGAAAAGTACTACAGGCTCACAAGTCAGAATTTATGATCAGACACTATCTATGACACGTTGAGATAAATTCCACCCTGTAGTTCTGATTATTCCATATTTCCAGACTAGAGACAGAACTCAAATACCCTTTGAAGCTGTAAAATTCCTGCTCCTGGTGTTTTACTCCCAGGTTTACTGCTCATTCTGTTGAGACTGCAAGTCAGAGATTCCACATCACTCTGATTTTCAGACATGTTTCAGCTTTTGGTGAAAGTCACCCTTAATTTAAGTGCCGTGTCAGAATTGGCTCCTCTTTGGGAAAATTCAGCAAACCCACCATTATTTTTGTTGAATTGCCTTCAGAAAAAGTAGAATATGACCCTTTGAGAGAAGCCTTGTGATGGGAGCATCAAGATGATCTTACCTCCCTTCTTCATAAGTGTGGAAAAATCGATGAGCTTGACTAAATTAATTTACTTCCACTTCAGCTCTTGTCAATACAAACAAATTATTCTACCTGGAGCTCTGTGCAGGGAGGTACAGATACAGTCAATAACTCAGCAGGAAATGCTGCCTCAAAACTGAAGCTTTTAGGTGTCTAAATCCCTGTCCCAAACTCTGGATGTTTGGTATGTAGTGCACAGGTCACTTCTGGGTTGGTTTTCTAGAGCTGTGAACACCAACCCCCCTCCCCTCCTGCCATCCCAGTGCACACAGGGACACCCAGGCCAATTGCAGCTGTCCAGAACCCAGGATTGCTTCCCTCCTGGAAAGTACCTTTGCCACTGGGATATGAAGTTATATTCCTGCATTCTTAGTGCAGCAATCCCATTGCTCATCTTCACATCAAGAGGTGATTTATGGGGCCTGTAAATGCCACTTCTGGACATACAAAAAGCCAAAGGAACTCCAACTCTCCCACTTTCTCAAATGCATCCTTTAAGTCACTGTATAAAAGCAGCCAGTGCTGTTCTCTGCTTTAAGAGAGTTTGATCCAATTGCCCAGGACCAGAAAGACAACTGAGGAGTCAAGAAGCAATACAATAAATAGCTCTGGATTTTAATCCTCCAACACACCTAAGTCAAGCTGTAAGGTAAGTATTTCTCCCTGGGAGAGAGGTAAGACTTCATATACCCTCTTTCTGGTGCATTCTCTTTTGGATGAGACATTTAAATTTCTTTTAAAAGAAATTTAAGAACTGTTGAAATGAAAGAATTGTTGGTATTTACATCACCCTGAATGCTTAAGACACCCCTCATGCCTTTGGATTTCAACATTAATCAGTCTCACAACCGAGTCTCTCAATTCAATGTCTCTAACGCAAAGAGTCTCGCTGCCACCAAAACCAACTCTGCCAAGGGAGAAACCTTCAGTGTGCAGAAGGCATTGTGACTGAGACACTTCTGGCTGAGGCAGTGGCACTGCTGATCCAGGAAGAAGTGGACTGCAGATCTTCCAGGACCTTGTGTGGTTCTTGGACAGCCCCGGGGCTGGGGCTGAGCTGTCAGCAGCTCATGGGACACAAACAGAACTCAGCCTTGGGGCCCACGAGCTGCTCTGAGCACCTTTTGGGGAAAATAAGCATCAAAGGGACAGGGGAAAATTCTGAAGTTTATCTTGTCCTTCAGGAAACTGCAGACCCACGGAAATCAATGAAACGAAGATCACTCACAGCTCCACAGCCTCAAACCTACTGCTTGCTGAGGGAATATTCCCAAACTTCCAGGATACCACAATCGACAAGAACTCCTCTCCCTCCCGATGGCTCAGGGGGCAGATAAATCTCCATCCCAAAGGAACCAGAGCTCAATTCTATTGCCTTCTGTGGAGTAATGGTTTTGTCCGAGGTGTTTAAGCTCAGTCATGTCTGGAAGTGCCTCCCTGAGCCCTTCCATCCATCCTGATGCCTCAGGCCCTCAGCTCATGTCCTGCAAACAACCCAACCCGGTCACAACCACCTGGTGCTATTTCCTTCTTATACAAGCAGCAGAAA